TGTGTCATCAAAGACAATGAGTGTCTCTCCCTCAGGGGCCCTCAATTGTCAATAGCTGCCCTGAACAGGGCTGGGCCCCAGGAACTCCTTCCCACCTATCACTGAATGTGCATGGGCTCAGTTACCTGAAGACTCCAGGCAGTTACTGTGAGCTCATGTGTGTCTTACTATGTCATAATCATAAGATAACATGTCCTGGTTTTCTCTTCCTCTTCCATGATGTTTTCTGAGCCTTGGAAAGGGTGATAGGAGTGGTCCAAAGTGAATTAATTTTAATACATTTATTAATTTGTATCAGGTTTATATTTTTCTTGTGGTTATTGCCCATTTAACTTCTATCACATAATTTATTTATTTATTTATTTATTTATTTATTTATTTAAAAAGGTGGAACATTCCAGGGGAACAGCATGCCATGCCTACACAGGAGCCATATTAACCTTTCCTGCATTTTTCCAATTTTTAAATCTGACCTGCTGGAATGAGCAAAAAAAATTTTGTTGCATTTACTGGTTTATTTCACGTTTACACTGAAAAATAAATATGTAGCTGGTCTCTCAATGTCTTATCCTCTTGTAAACAGAAAATAAAAACTAAGGAAGATCTGTCTGAGTGACTCCAAATGATCCCCCAGCCCAGCACAGTGCCTGGAAGATTCTGAAGATCCAATAACTACTTATTAAAATGTTGACTGCGTAGAAGTGTAGGTGGGACCAGTGTTCTTAGTGAACTTGGAGAATATTAGAGAAAGAGAGAGGTGCCAGAAGACAAAACGAGTTATTAGGAAAATAAAAGAAAGCAGGTTTTATAAATTATTATCTATGAATTTAGTGAAAATCCCAAGAAAGTTGCTAACATATAACATATAATATGCTACAAAATCAATGATAGACTTTGGAGCTAATATGACAGAACACAGAACACCTTAGAGCAGAAAACTAGCATTTTCATAGCATCAATATATTAACCTTCACTAGAGAGATCAGAAGGATGATGAGCCTGGGCTTCAGAAGGGCCCAGCCTATTATCATGTACATCCTTATTCCAAAAACTCACTGGGTCCTGCCTGATGTGAATTATATGATAATATGAGAATAATTATTTATTAACTATTTCTAGATAAAAAATTTTGAAAAATTTGCATATCTCATAAGCCTGAGAATAATAATTGGCAAGTTGGTTCTTTAGAAATTAGCATTCAGATGTTACATATGTTCAGTATTTAGGATGATGTATTGTCTTGATCTGTTTTGTGTTACTATAAGAGAGTGCCACAGACCATGGAATTTATAAAGCACGGGGACTTATTTCTTGTAATAGTTATTTCTTGAGGGTAGTAGCTGGTGAGACCTTCTTGCTGTGTTGTCGCTGGTTGACCACATGTGCGACAGAGCACACTAGGGTAACATATATTTGGGCATTTTGTATTAGCCTGTATTAACTGTACAAAACAATAGGTTTCATCACAATATTTTCATACATGTATACTTTCTCATATTCAGGGGACCATTATACTCCAATCTTGCCCTTATAATAAACCTGCTTCTTCTTTGTGAAGGCTGGCCTCTCATGACCTGACCATTGCCCAGAAGAGCCACCTCTCAATATGATGCTATAGGGTTGACTTTTGAATACATCACCTTCAGGGAAAAAGTTAAGTGATGGGAAGAATTCTAGTCATGTAAGCATGAGAGAGGAGGGTGACGTTGGACAAAATCCAAGCAGGGACCCAGGCTGGAACAGGAGAACAGCTAATCATTCAGACTGTGCCAGGCCCTGGAAGACCTCAGACACCACACTGGAGAGCTTTAATCTAGTCCTTGTTTCTGTTCCAACATTTTAACACTTCAGGGACTTTCCCCATCCTTTGATGTGAAGCTCAGGTGACCCTGAAACTCACGTTGATCCTTCTGCACCATCTTCCCAAGTGCTGTGATCACAGGTGTGTGTCACCATGTTGGGCATCTACTCCAACATAAGCAAACAAAGCTCAGTTTTGTTACTTTAGAAATGTAGCATTGCTTTACCTGTCTTCCCACCCTCAGATGTCTGAGATGGAAGACTCCCTTCTGTCCAAGAATTTAGGACCAGCCTGGGAATGCCGTGAGTCCCTCTCTTAAAGTGTGTGTGTGTGTGTGTGTGTGTGTGTGTGTGTGTGTGTGTGTGTGTGTGTGATATTCAAAGCAGGGAATAGGAATTTGGGACACTTGAAGTGCCATTAGAAGGGCATTTAATGTAGACATGATGAGACCCAGAACTGAAGAAGAGGTTGTAGGGTTCAAGAGTAGGAGCTAAGAGATGAGAGACACAGAGTAACAAAGTTACTTTGACTTAGGCAAAAAAAAAAAAAGAAAAAGTGAAGAAATTATATGACAGTTGGTGGTTTAAACCCATAGCCTTGATAGAGTATAGGAACAGATAATGTCATTACTCTCTGTCCAACTAGACACAAGAATTCACATGCCTAGTCAAGAGAAACTCAACATGATAATTTAAATTGGTCTTTATTTTGTTTTGAAATAGATTGGTGCTTTGAGATTAGACTGTATTTTAGTCTTTGATCAATGGAGATAGGGACACAGTATTTATGATTTTTATATTGTCATGTTTATGTTGTCAAGGGAATGTCATTGTGTTAGTCAGCCTTCTGCTATTGTAACAAATACCTTCTGGTGGTATTGTGTTTCCCAAAATATTGTGCACCCTAATAAACTTATCTGGGGTCAGAGAACAGAACAGCCACTAGATACAGAGGCTAGAAAATGGTGGCACTCATGCCTTTAATCCTAGCATTCCAGAGGCAGAGATCTACCTGGCTCTCTGTGTGTTCAAGGATACAGCCAAGCATGGTGACTCACGTCTTTAATCCCAGGGAGTGATGGCAGAAAGCAAAAAGGTATATAAGGCATGAAGACCAGAAACGAGAAGCTTTTAGCTGGTTAAGCATTCAGGCTTTCGAGAAGCAGTTCAGCTGAGATTCATTTGGATAAGGACTCAGAGGCTTTCAGTCTGAGGAAACAGGATCAACTGAGGAACTGGCGAGGTGAGGTAGCTGTGGCTTGTTCTGCTTCTCTGATCTTCCAGTATCACCCCAATAACTGGCCTCAGGTTTGATTTTATTAATAAGTACATTTAAGATCCGTGCTACAATACCTGAAACAAATTAGCTGACAAGAAGAGAGAGGTTACTCTGACTCACAGTTGTGGAGCTCATGACTCCTTGGCCTCATGACTCTTATGCTCCTGGTAAGGCAAGTATCCTGGTGGAGAGCAGGTAATGAAACAAAAAGCCAGTAGCTTGTAGTAAAACAAGAAGAAATAAAGAGGGGTTATGTTATCTCCTTCAAGGGAACAATTCTAGTAACCCAAGGCCCCCCTTCCCAACCAGGCTTCATCTCCTACAGTCTCTACTACCTTGCTGTGGTGCATGGGCTGCAGATTGATCATTTAACTCATGGACTTGAGGGAACGTATAAGATCCATTCTGTAGCATCACTAAAACAAGCTTTCCCATTTTTAATAAAGTTACAGAACCGCAGGAACACCTCAAAGGCAATGCAGGAGGTTCTCACGCACTATGACCACCCTCTTCCTTTTATCTGAGGGTGATGAACTCAAGGTGAAGAATGGCAGTTGCTTCAAGGGTGACTCAGTCTGTTTCTAGGGATGGAATTCCAGCGTGGGTGACTCAGCAGGCATTTAACACTGTTTTCCATCTGGGAGATTATGCTGCTGTTAATGGGTTATTGCTCCCTGGTTTGGCTGTGTGGAAGACATTTTGTGGGACTTGACTCAAACAGTGAAGAAGTTAAAAAGAGTAGGTGATAGGAATTCCAGCCATGCTACCATGATCACATATGCCCCCGCGGGACACTTAGTCATTTCTGCCTAGTCATTTCTGGGTCATATGTCCTACATAACCCATGAGCTGCATGGTCACGTAAATCGTGTGCGCGGCATGACTATGTGATCTATGCATATGCGTGTGGCCACATGGGCCGGTGTGCACATGTGAAGGGTGGTCATTAAAAGGTGGACTCCAAGTCCCCCTGCCCCTTCCCTCACGTGTCCTTTCAGCAGGCCTGAACACATCTATCCCTTTTCCCTTTCTCAATAAAACTCTTGCTAGTGGGTTCTGTCGTGTTTTGTGACTTTTCCTCACAGGGAAAGAGTGCTGCTAAAAACCATCAGTAGGTATCCTAGGACCAACATGGTGGCAGACAGGGAAGGAAGAGAGGCCTGGCCAAGAGAGAACTCTGAATGACTCTCAGCGCACTGGGCCCTGAGGCCTACTTTCAGGCATTTCTTTCCTGAGCTGTATTCTACATAGTTACATAGTTATCATCAAACCTTGCTATAATTAGGTATAATTAGTTAGTTATAAGGCTTTATACTCACTTGGTGTGGAGAGTAAAATGAGAGCCCTAGTTTCTGTTTTGGAAGAGATAGCCTGGAGTGAACTGTAGAGGCTGGAGGCTGAGTTGATTATTGGCTGAGAAGCCAGCTTAGCCAAGCCTAGGGGCAAATCAGTTGAGTGGGTTTGCAGTACTTCAAGTCTTCCGTGACTGTGCCTTTAATTGCTTGTGAAATATAAGTATAAACTCTTGATCTGAAGAATGCAGGAACACTCAGGATGCGTATTTGTCCAAGCTTTTTTTTTTTTTTTTTTTTTTTTTTTTTTACTAATACACAAGATGGGGAAGCATGCCTCTCTGAAATGCCCAGGAGCACAGGTCTTGCATTTTGGAATATTTATATTTTCACAATGAAATTAGGGATAAACTCTAAGACTAAACACAGCATCCCTTTGTTTTATATGCCCAAGAAGTAATTTTATACATATGCATATTACTTATTTTATACATGAACCAAAGTTTCATGGTTTGGAATTTTGGACTTGTGGCATCATGTCAGTGCTCAAAAAGTGTTAAATTTTGGATTTAGGGATTCAGGATGTTGAGCGCATATTACAAGGAAATGCATTAAAAATAACATTCACCTCTATTTCAATGTACATCTTTATTCATGGTTGAAAATAAAAGCTTATTACATCTAACTTGTAAACTTATTCAGAATCAATGTGTTCAGAGAGACATAAAAATGTATGTATTTTCTATTAAATGATAGGTTCTGATGACTGAATATAATATACAGGTATATGCACAAAAATGTAAAAAGTAATTATGAAAACAAGACATACTACCAGTATATATAAGAAAAAAGACTCATTTCCCCACAGGCTACCAATAGTATACAGGACAGTTCTTGATAGAGTTCAGTTATTTTCATTTAATTCATTTGGTAGCTCAAGATATGATAGAAAAGACACTGATATACAGTGAAGTCACTTCACAGTGTTACATGACAGTAGAAACTCATACTAATACAAAATATCACTTGAGTTTTACATAGAGTTCCAGTGCCAAGTTTGAATGACATCTTGGTCAGCAAGTGATCTGAGAACTATTAAAGACTGATTTAAAAAAATATTTCTGCTGGTAAAAGTGTTGATGGTTTAAAAGCAACTAGAAGTAGACAGAGGTGCTGTGACCTGCCATTTTTCCAGCAGACATAGTGAACCGCTCTGGGTGCTTCCGTTTCTTTCCATAAGATGGCAGAGTTGGTTCAACAAAGGCGAGAACAATCTCATTGTCGGTCACAGTGACGAAAGAAGGTTTAAAGTCATTCCTGCTTCTTCAACAGTAAGTACTCTCTGCATTCATCAACAGTACTAATAGTACCCAGTTTGTCAGAAATAACAGCAAAGGAACAGCTTGTGTGAACCCCCAAGTATACCAGGGTTCCCTGAGGACCCTCTCTGAGCTCTGCTTTTGAACTCAGACAGATCTCTTACACGCAGTTGTCTTTGCTGGGTTTCTTTCATACCCAATCACACCAGGTCCTGTGGCAGCATGGGAAGATCATCCCAGAGGTAACTAGAGGGTATCTGTGTGTGGTTGAGGTAAGTATATTTGTCTGAACTGTCAGGGACTGCAGAATGGCCTACTTTAACCACAACTCAGGAGTGTGGTGGGCTGCCTTGGCTTATGTGATGTGGGTGACTCTGGTTCTCAGATCTGTTCCTAGAGTCCCGAGGGACAGGGCACCTATTTTCAAATGTGGCACACACATGCTCAGAGGAGCAGGTGGCTCTGACCTCAGGGTCTTGAGCATCACAGAGTGAGCGCTAGGTGGTGTCTCAGAGGCTGAGCTCTGGGAAGGAAGAAGTCTGCCCAAAGCCATGAGGATTTCGATGATAAACTTCTCGAGGAAAAATTGGACATTTGATTAGTTTTCATTGCTTCCCCTTGGGCTGGGGGGCTTCTTTCACAAGCAGATTCTTATGAAGTGTTTGTTGAGAGAATCCCAAGGCAGCAAAGGAAGGCTGCATTTGGGCTGACTATCATCTTTGCTCATCAGAGCTCGGCCTCTGTGGGAAGGGGGTCCTCATACCTTCTGTCGGGGCCCAGGTATTCTGGAATGCTATTTGCTTGAGCCTTTTGTAGATTAATATGTCTCCTTGCGCTTAGACTGTGTGCTCCCCGTGCTCAGACCCTGCTGTTATCCTGTGTTGTTTCTCTCACACCTGAACAGTGCCTCACACCTGGGAGGTGCTCTGCAGGAATGCTTTGAAGAAATGGCAGGAGCCACAGCTTGTTGCCACAGCTTACAGGACGTGGCTTGGAGGAGTTCATGGAATCTTGTGTCCCTCAGTGTATGCTGTTGGATTGACAAACGGGCTGAGTGTGGCAGTAACCCACAATAGAATTCCCCCATCAGTAGCAGTTCCTGGGGCATCAGCTTCATACACCGAAGGGCACCTCTGACTAATCCAGGAATGAGATGTACGCCTCAGTGAACAGCTGCCAATGGGCTTTCTTTTACCAATTACTGATAGACTAAAAAATGGGACAGGGAGCAAGGTTGTTTTAGTGACTGTAAGCCAGAACTCTTGAACTGCAAGGTGAGAGTATGCCGGATGAATGCGGCATGCTTTGGGGAACCCTTACCTTTTCCATGAAATATCCCAGGACTTTGAGAAGTCTGTGCCTCAGAAAGCTGGCTATTGCACCAAAAGAGACAATTTGGTAACAAGCAGGTAAAGGAGTATTTATCACAGGGGATGACCCTCAGGAACTAGTGTTAGGAGCTTAAATCTTGAAAATTAAATTTCCCTCCACCCCAGATATTTTCTCACCATGCTATGGCTCTTATGTGGGGCATGCATGGGAGATGTCTGGGGTATTAATTATTCTATGTTCTTTACCTAAGTGTCTTTCTCTTAGTAATTTTTTGGAAAGGAGTCTGACCAAATAAAATTTTCATTAATCTATCTATATCAGAAGATGCTTATAACCCTGGGTCCACCACATGCTCTGGGCGTAGCATGTTGCAAACAGCAATACAACACCCAGGAAGTGGAGACAATAAAGGTCTGCATGGTCAGCAGACCAAAGGAGTGCATCTTATTCAGATGAAAGCAATAATGATACTGATTGTAAGACAGGCAAAAGAGAAGTAGCTTGAGAAGGAAGTCCCCATTCTTAGTTCACAGAGACATGATTTTTAACTAACATCTGGATTTGTCATAATGGGAATGAAGCACTGTTGTGTGAAGCTATGCACTCTTTGTCTGTAGACTTCTGTTCCAGCGATTTTTACTTCCAATGTGTCCATACACCAGTGACTCACGTTCTTACATTACTTTTCTCCCTGTGTTCTTCCACAGGCAGTGTTTGAAATGGTTGTCAGTATTTTTGCATATTTTATGCAATGGCTACTTTTTATGTTTTCTGTTCCTAACCTGTTGTGCGTTTGACAATTATTTGATTAAGATGAATCTGAGTTGGGATTGAATTAAGAGTAATACATCCTATTGTTGGATGAGCTTCCCTATGAAGAGAACTCAAGAGTTTGAGAATGTGGAATATGCAAAAACCTACTGGGAGTGGCAGGGACATTTTTGTCTGTCTTTTGCTCCTTGGCTCTGCTATGCAGGAGGTTGCTAGGCAGCGAGGCTCTTGTCCGTCACATGTAAGAACTCTCAGACAAATCTACAAAGTCAGAAATTCTCATTGTTTCCAGCCCCGGAGTTCTCAGTGGGAACTCTCACCTACAAGTTTCTGGGAGAGCATGAGAAGCTGCTTCGTTATTCTGTGTCAGGCATTTTTCTGCAGGAACTGATGTAGGCATTAATTCTAATTCTCTTCACTTCAGAGTTTCCCTTGAGGATCTGAAAGTGTTTTGAAGTGTTCACACCCACATTTCCCTTGAGTTATGTGAAATGGAAAAAAAAGTAACGTCTACATCTTTCAAAGAAAACTAGGCATGTTCTTATTACAATTATTACTGATGCTAATAATACTCTGGGCTTGTACCAGCATCTGTCACATGGCAGCCCAGATCTGCAGCCGAACTTTTAATGAAAACTCCATTTTCTTAAATGTTTTGTAATTATTATGCAGCTCCTTAGTTAAGGATATGGAAATGCAAGGTTTTTACAGAAGGAAATCAAGGAAGGTAGATGGCTACGGGCCCTGAAACAAATGAAAAAAAAGGAAACAGGACTAGAACCTGCTGAAACCACTGCCCAAGCCTCCTACTTTAACAAGGATCTAGCCAAAGCAGCCCCTGAGGGCCTCTGATCACACAGGGCATTTTACAGCCAGCGGAGGGACTTTGATCTCTGGGTCTGGTTCAGGTAGTTTGATGTCCGTCATCAATACCTTTCTTTGTGACATTAAAAAGTCTAACAGTCGTCACCTGATGTTTCAAATCCATTACATGCAGCAAGTGGCTTAAAAGCAATAAAGTGAACTAACGAGTTCTGCTTGTCCTCTAGAAACAAGTTAAGTAAGCCACAAGACTTGTGCTGAGTTCTAGTCTTAAAGACAGTTAACTTGCAGGCTGAGCATGGTGGCACCTGCCTTTAATCCCAGCACTCGGGAGGCAGGCAGAGGCAGGTGGGTGGGTCTCTGTGAGTTCCATGTCATTCATAAGACCCTGCCTCAAACAAACAAAGATATTTACCTTACTACTTCATACATTCTACTTTGCCTAAAGCACCAAGCCCAGAGAATGGTGCAATCTTTAATGATAAAGATGAAAAGCTACATGAGAACCCAAATAAATGCCTATACATGTTGGATGGATAAATGGATTGAATACTGACAGTTTATAATAATAAAAACCCTAGGCAATGCAAAGAAAAGCCTGTAGGCTACAATGCAGGTATTGATGAGGAAACTGGAAAGCTGGTTAATATTTGCAGCAATATCTGTTTCTATTATCAACATCTGAGTTCAGTAGTAATGATTATGTTCATTGGGCTCTGACATTCATATGTGAGTGAAGGTGGTCTTCATAAACCATTGTAAACCTGCAGTTAGTGAGTTTGCTTTTTCATTTAGACAGATTATAAGATGCCAGAAATAAAAGTGTTCCTCTTTGGTTAAGGAGGCTTATGAGGGATGGAAATGTAAAGAAGGCCAAAAACTGATTTTAAGCAATCTATTAGCACACTAACTCCCTCAGGACCTGTCATGCAACAGTTCAAAGCAAGCTATCTGCACGCTGGCTGGTAAAACATAGTGTGCAGGTTGTTCAGAGCACACAAAATTGTGCTTAAGCTACAAGTGAAGGAAGCAGGTACAGCAAGTCCAAGCTGGTCTGTATTGTGGAAAGTAAAAAACAGTGACTGGTGGTCTAAGATCTCTGATTTTCCCTGAGAAGACAAAAGTGAAGTCAGGAAAAAAAAACAAAAACACAAAAAACAAAAACCAAACAAACAAAAAAACGAAACAAAAAACCAAAACCAAAACCAACTCAAGAGAACACAAATGTCCTCTGGCCAATAACTCTGCTATGAGAGCAGCAGAGACAGGTGACACAGAGCAGGCCACAGCAGGGGGCCTACAACTTGAATGATGGGGGTTATGCAGACATGTATCAAATGTCAGCACAGAACACCTCACCGGAAAAGCCTGGTCACTAAAGACCAAATCATGGATTTGGTCTTTTCTCCTGGTGATTCTCAGATTTAACATTGGGTTTTCTTTCTGACCAAACAGACCAGATAAAAAAGTAAGAAGTAGAAATTTTTATTCCATGTTTTTCAGTGGAAGGTCTAACCTGTTGATACTGTTCTGTGGTCACTAGAGACTCCACAGAAGGAAGCTGTGGAATGAATGCAGAGGAAACAGGCTGAGGATGCTGGGAGCAGCCTCAGCAGCCTCCTCCTCAACCAGGCTCAAGGAGATACCACAGGTCTTTTCAGTGCTATGAGTTTAGCTTGCAGAGAAAGAGCATGCTCTCGTGGGGGTGTGTACCTGAGTGCAAGTGCCTGCAAAGGCCAAAGGAGGGAATCGGATCCTCTGGAGCTGGAATTATAGGCAGTTGTGAGCCGCCCAATGTGGATGCTAGGAACTTGGGTCCTGTGCAAGAGCAGCAGACAAGCAGAACACACTTAACCATTGATCCATATCCCCAGCCCCTTTTGCTTACATTAAAAAAACAATAGCATCTTGCTGGTCCTCAACTTCTGGGCTCTAGCAATCCTCCTGCCTCAGGCTTCTGAGTGCTGGACTCCAGACATCTGATACTCATGCCCAGTTCACCTAATCATCTTTAAATTATCTGTCATGTCAGCTGCATTTGGAGCCATTTTATGCTCAGAGAGAATATGCTGGCACTTTTCAGTGACTAAAATCACTTCCTAGAGTACTGTGGAAAAAGCAGTACTTGGAACTAGTCCAGGAAGAAGATACAATAAAGTCTAAAGATTAAAAAAGTTTTTAATTTTTCTCAATTGTAAGTTTCTTAAGAACAATGTATTTTTTTCAAGAAAAAAAAGTGAAGAGAAAGGCAGGTTAACTTTGAAAAGTTGTATTTTTTATTTATTTTTTTCCACTTTAATTCTTATGGTGCTGGTAATTGAATCTAGGGTCTTGGATTCAATGACTGTCATGTGCTCCACCACTGAAATAACATTGCAGCCCTCCTTTTAAACCTTAAACGTCTACAACAATGACTACTTTCTCTTTTTCCTTCTTTTGGTCCTCTTCCTCTGTCTCCCTGCTCCTCTTCCTCTTTCTTTTCTTCCTCTCCCTCTTTTAACTGTTGTGACAGACTTCCACTAGGCTGTCGAGGCTGTTCTTGAGTGTGTGTTCATTCAGTCTCAGCCTCCCATGAAGTAGAGGTTAGAGGCCTGTGCCACCAGGCTTGGCTGAGCTCAACTTTAGCAGTGAGGAATCATCAGCATACCAGCGATCATATATTCTCAATTACCTGTCCTGACCCACTTTCCTAAGCACTATATACTGTTGAATTAAATAGAATAAAATAAGGACGTTATTGATCAGTTCCGAAGAGTTTGTGGTACAGAGGGGACTGTTTTTCAGTGGAAGGTCTAACCTGTTGATGCTGTTCTGTGTAGACTGAGCCCTGTGTTGGAATGGCTCTTCAAATTAGAGTCATTTGCAAGAACAGGAAAGTCAAAATACATTCTGCAGAATTAAGAAAACAGGACGATCTAGTATTATACATTGTGAGATCGAAACAGGAACAATAGACCTTTCAGGTTAAGGTTTCTGTTTGCAGTTAAAGAGTAAGTTCCTATGTTAACTCCTTGCAAGTTAAGGTTTCTATTTGTAATTAAGAATAAGTTCCTGTTTCTTAGATCTGATGTGAACTGCCCAACACGTTTTTCAACCCACATTAAACTCACGACCCTATTCCCATTCCTTCCCCTCGTTCCTTCCCTTTTATTGTATTTTTCTCACAATGTGTAACAGTTCACTCTCTCGCCCCTGTGAACACCTTATCTCTCCTATAAAAAGGACCTCAAGAGGCCAGCAGGGGCTGCTCTCCCAAATCCTGACTTAGGGGGAGACAGCCAACTGGTCAGTCCTGAGTGCACCCCAAAATATAGCTGGCTTTAATGGGGCAATCATGGATTTGGTCTTTTCTCCTGGTGATTCTCAGATTTAACATTGGGTTTTCTTTCTGACCAAACAGACCAGATAAAAAAGTAAGAAGTAGAAACTTTTATTCCATGGAGCTGATGATGACATCTTTCATAATACTGGAAAGTATATGCCTCTTTTTTTATAATCTATAACAATTAAGGAATCAAGACTTCCATTTCAACAAGATTGTGTTCTTGAAGTGAATGGAAGGGACTGCTCAATATTCTTCTATATGTGTTTACTGCTCTTAGTTTTAGTTGGGTACAATGTCACCTAGAATATAGGCTCTAGTGCCCAGCTTTCTCTGCTGCAAAGTCTTGGGTAGATCAAACTTTGACAAATGATGTAAGTAGGAATTCTATACAGTTAGCTTCTGAGACTTGTCCTTAAGCAAAAAACAAACAAACAAACAAACAAACAAACAAACAAAAAAACCCCACCATTCTTTGTGACTTTCCCCACTCCTTGGCTAGACTTAGAAAAGACGTAAGCTTCTGCAACCATTTTGAATGTTGTTATGATCTGAGAATGGCAGCCACACAGCATGAAACAAGGAGAGGTCAAGATCTCTAGGAAGCGCACGTGCTGGTCTCTCCCGAGTTTGAGAATAAGGGGAGGAATAGGTGGCTGTATTAGTTAAGCCACTGTCTTTTTGTTGTTAGTGTTGGTGATGGTAATGGTCATTTACAGTTCAACATGGTTCTCTATAAAAGCCAATTCTATGGGGAAACCCACCCAAGTTATCAATTTCTTTAGACTAGTTCTTTTCAACTCTGAAGAGGAAGGGGAAAGTGTGCTCTTGGTGGAAAACAATCCAGTGTTTTCACTCAGTTAAAACAAACAAAACCATTTGACCAACCAAGCAAAAGGGAGGTAAGGACCGGCCCTGTCCAAATCCTGGGGAGGTATCTTTCTATTTTGATTCTTTCATCCTAATTCTCTTTCTGCTCTTCCTTTTTTGTTCTTTTCCCTACATTTCTTCTTTTATTCTTTTAACTTATCTCTCAAGTTCAAGCCAAGCATAGTTTGGATTCTTTGAATATTTCATTTTTTAAATATTTAGCATTTAATAGGATTCATGCCCTTTATATGAAAGCAAGTTCAAAGAAAATGATTAATTCTCTGTGGGTACCATTTCTCCCCCAAATCCCAGTTTTTAAGGAGACTTATCCAAAGCCTTGAAGAAGTGGCAGTTTCTCTAAACTTTTTTTTTTCAGGCAGAAAAGAGATGCTACTCACAAAAAATGGGCATTTTTTTCTAGTTTTCCACTTTTGAGATTTTTTTCCATTTTTAAACTTTTTTTTAATGTTTAAAATTTAACCACCCCCTTTCTGAGTGGCACACTGTTTAGTCACAGAAGGAGTAATGTCTTGCCATTTGTTTTACTTTTGGTCTTAATTTTCAGTCTTATTTGTAACAAATATTTAAACTTGACTTTCAGACACTTTAAAAGACTCCATAACTCCAAAATATTACAGGGCATGTGTATATTGAGGGAATATGTTTTTAAGTTCAGAAATTTAAGGTCTCTGCATCTTTACGACAGGTGGGCATGTGTGAGCTCAACAATGGTGCCAGAAGTTTAACAGTCACTGAAGTCAGGGCCACACCAGAAGCTAGAGTCCTCTTGCTGGTGGATATAAACACTGAGGCAAGAGAAGCCAGGTCTCTGGAGGACAGCAGCGCCACCTAATGGCCACCTCCAAAGAACCAAGTTTGGTATCATATCATTGGGCAGTAAGTAGCTTTGCTCACAGCTTAGGGCGTTCACTATCATATTAATGCCATGTTGGAGATAGTTCATTAGCGTATAAATACCAAGACAGGTATTTATATGCCGGTGGCCACCCCATAACACATCAGTTATTTGTATTTCTTTCCTACTTTATTCAGCCACCCCTGGAAAGAAAGCAGACACTATTTTGGTCTAAGATGTCAAGTCAGAACACCCTAATTCTAATCAACTGTAAAGTTCTTCCAAGTTCTTTATGAAAGTGACTCACAATTGTAATTACTTGTTTTAAAAACTTCTCACCCAGGATGTTTTGCATAGTGAGACCATCTTGGGCATGCCATTTTTAAAATTAAGGTCTGTTTAATCTTGGCAAGATTCTAATTTTTAGAGATTAAAAGTGCAATTTTGGTTTTTATTTGTTACTCGATTTAGCAGTATGGTTTTTCTTGTCTTCACAACGTACATTTTATTTGATTGCAACAGAGACAAATTTCTCCTATCAGGAGTGTGCCGTTCGTTGGATGAAGCAGGTACTCAGTGCCTTGCCATATCTTGTCAGGTTCAGCTACTCAAAGATAGCTTCCTCTCTTACTTAGGTCTGTAGGGACAGCAAGACTCGTTTTTTTTTTTTTTTTTTTTTTTTTTCAGAAGGAATAAGGAAATGAGCTAGTATTTCGCTAGAACAAGGTACCAAGTTGTCTTCTAAACAAGTGAACCAACTGCGTTCAAGTTTTGGAGAAGTGTGGAGACAAGTGTATTTTGCTTTGGAGACACATCCTCTCCCTTCAGATGGCAGGTGGAAGGGAGGCTAAGATCCCGGGGGGTGGGGGAGCACTTTCTCTCAGTTTTTCTCTGAGGTGGACTGCTCTATGCCCAGGACATTTATGCCTGAGAAGCCTCTGATCCTTTCATCTGTCTCCTGGCTCAATTTTGCTGGCTTTGGGACATGTTTGGAAGCTACAATAAATAAGACAGAGATATCCCAGCCTCTCGTGTTGCCATATAACATAGCAGGAGTCTCCAAAGAAAGGCAAATCATTCACTCAGAAGAAGGCACAGCCTTCTTTGGGCCATGACTAACCAGGCTTGGTGCCAAGGTGGTTCCGAGAGAAGACTTGGGCCTTGTGTCATTCTTCCACTCCCTGTCCTGGGCTCCTGCTCCCCCAGTTGCAGACTTGCAGTTTGATGGCACCATCTTTCAGGTTCCAAGAGCTCCTTTACATGTAGAATCAAGATATATTCTGTAGGATAGAACTCGGTGAATGTCAATGTCAGCTGACTGGAAGGACACAACCTAGTGGACGTGAACTTAGAGGCATTAGGGCAGAGGCGATTGCAATTCTGATCATTAGCAGACTCATGAAATTTATGTACATACAAGGAAGAAGGGGGATCAGAGAGACTTCCACAAACATACAAAAACTTACAACAATTCCAGTGTTTTATGGGTGTCTTAGAGATATGTGAGTCACATTGGACCATCTCTGGAGCAAACAGTGAACAGACAGAACCTTGACAGAGAGAAAACTAATTTTCATGCGTATACAAAAGGAGTCAAATGGGTTTTCACACGGGAATAATGGAGAGACAGAAAAACATGAGACAAGCACCTGCCTTACATCGTGAGCAGACAGTTAATCAGCAATGCAGTGAAACTTCAGCACTGAGAACCGGTTAACTCAGGTTTTAGGTATCCATTTGGCCATGTCATAATGTCCAGATATTTGGTGAAACCCAGATGAGAGTAACATTTAAACCAGCAGACTAACTCAGGCACACTGCAGTTTATAATGTGGTACATTTATAATGGGGGTTGATGGCATCATGGCGACTGGTGGAAAAGGGGGCCCTAAGGACGTTTTCTGAACCGTCTGACATGTTCTGAATTTTGATTGAAACATTGGTAATTCGGTTTGTCCATTTCTCAAAATTAGTTACATTGTATCCTTAAAATCTATGCATTTCACCATGCGTACATTTTATTTAAGTTTAAAAAGCCCTACAATTGTTTTATTGTTTTTCAAGATAGACCTTCCTTTTTCCTTGGAAAATTAGGTTTCCAACATAATTTTCTTGGTTCTTGGGATGAATGGGAAAATGAAAAATTGATGTACCTCAGACATAAATATTTTCTTTACAGGTTTCTATAGAGAATTCCATAGGATTTGAATGTTCCCTTTGAATATCCTAAAAGTTTCTGGCTAGAGATTTATGGTTGTGATTTCTATCCTGCAGCCCTTGAGCCGTATGTTTAGGTCTGACATCAGTGTTGGGAGTGAAACAGAGAACAGGAAATATGAGCCTCAGAGACAGCCCAGCTCCCTCCACAAGGGAAGGGCCTCCACGAATCATTTCTCATCTTTTGTATTCACAACACATATAATATCAGAATATTGCAAGAACAAGATATGCGTGAATCTGGAATTTAGATCGCCATAATATGGCTGTGGGGTCTTCAGAAACTGAGAACAAGGGACTCCACATTTTGTCTGTGTCTGGTGCTGTTTAAACGGTGATCCAGGCTTAGTTTGAAAGTTGGATCCCGTTTTTTGTGCAAGCTGCCACAGGTCTACCCTTGTGTCTGATGCCCACAGGCAATGTCTGTTTATACAAACAGATTAGCCCAGCAGGGTTCAGCAGCCTGGATGTCACACTCACCTCAGCAACACAGACAGTCTCCTTAGAAATGACTTTGAGAAAAATTTCACAGGTTCTTTTTTTCATTTTGCATGCCTCAAGTTAAATATTGTAAAAAAAAAAAAAATTAAAAACCATTTTTTCTTTCTTTTTTTTTTTTTTTACAATTTACAAGTGCTCATATAAGAAGAAGATGACTAAAAAAATACCCACCCAAACACCCAGAACGCATCTAGCAAACAAGGCTAATGTTACACAGGCTGAGACCAAAGACCTTGCAGCTCCCTCCCTGTTCGCCGGCCCGCAGGGGTTGCAGTCCTGCCCTCTGGGAGGAAGGTGCCGCTGTAGGATCCCCAGTGCCAGAGGCCAGTGGTTCTTTGTTCCCTAACTCAAGTCCAGGAGCCGCATTTCAGAGTCAATGTCATTACTTATTTCGACCTGAAAAAGAAAAAATATGAATTGCTTTAAAGAACTTCAATGCTGATAAATGCAAGCCTGTCCCTTTCTCCAGGCCTTTTGAAATGCAAAGCAGTTTAGGGTGGACCCGCTGCTGTCTGACTAAAAGCAGCTGAGGCAGAAGGCTCAGCTCGCCTGCTTCCCCGTCAGCTCCTGGCGATGACAATGCGGATGGGGAGGGGACCTGACAGCCACAAGATTGTGGGGTGAAGTGGATTTACTGTCTCAGAGGGGAAGGCACTATATATTCTCAATTTACTAGCCACACCCCCATATCCTCCTCCTAAATAAGACTATTAACAGGCATCTTGGTCTGAGACAAATCATGGACCCGGCTCCCTCACAAACAGCCTGGCCTGGAATGCAGAACATTATTGCCTTGGCCACCCTACCCAAATATTTGGTGAAAAAAAAAAAAAAAAAAGCCTATGCCTGGCAGTGTCCTTCAGATGAGATTAACATCTCGATCAATAGACCAAGTAAATTATATTTTGCCCCACAGTGTGGGTTAACCTCGTGGGATCAGTTAAAAGCCTCACCACAGACAAAGCGATGTTTACTGAGGAACCGGGGGGTTCTTTCTCCAGATCACTGGCAGCATTGACTTATCCTTACTCTTCCATCTCCCAGCCTCATCTGCAGACTGTGAACTTGCTGGACTCCATTACTGCATGAGCCAATTTCTTAACATCCCTACCAACTCTCCCCTCTCTTTTCTCCTCCATCTCTTCTCCCTCTCCCTGCTTCACTTCCTACTTCTCCATCTTCTTCCTCTCCCTCTCCAGTAGCTCTCCTCCATGGGACCGATGTAAATTTTACTTCTCTGGCAAACCGGAGTACTACAACCCTCCTGTGTTAGTTATCCTGTTGTCCCCATTTTGAGCAAGCCCTGCACATTACTTCTTTTGCAGCCTTTGGAATTCGAGGATCCGAATGACTAGTCCATACACAAAGTCAACGTCTGCACAGTACCTGCATAGCCTGCACCTAGTGAAAGTGAGTAGGGCGTGTTAGCCCTCTCCATTTCTCTCCTGTGAAGCGTTTCCTGGTCTAAAAGGTACTCTCCTTTGACAGATTGGTGGAAACTTGCCTCTGAGCACTTTTATTAGTATTCAGCCGTGCGGAGTAAAGTTTATCCTGTTACAAGAACTAAAGAGTGCTCTACAGTTCCGTGTGCAACTCCTGGCCATTAGCGCCATTGGTGACTACCCTGTTCCTCTCAGTCGTTTTCCCTTCCAAAATAATCACAACCATCATAGCAATGGAGGCTGTTTCACACTAATTTCACATCCCTGTCTAGAAACTTCTCTTCCATTAGCTCCATTCAGTGACTCTATGGCTTGAAACGGACTTTTCAGTTATAATTTGAAATAGTTAGAAAAACTCCAATTTTCTAGTTCCTCTCCTTTCCTTTTCCTTTCCCTTCTTTCTTTTCTTCTTTTTTTTTTTTTAGTGTCTCTCTTTCCCCTGTGAATGATGTTTCCCCCACCAGGGAGGCCCCTGGTCCCCTGGAGTTATCCTGCAGCATTTGCTTCATGTTTCTGCTTCTCTGGAGTCTGAATGGCAAGCCACTAAGTCTAATCCTTTCCCTCTGCATTTTAACAGGGATTTCCATGGAGAGATAAAGAGATGCAATTATAAAGATGGAATTTAATACTTTCACACCGTCTTACGTTAGCAGGAAGAGTGCTTCCAAAGATTGTTTCTCTGTGAACACATGACGCTAGTCTCAGTGAGGTGGATTAAAGCAGGTGCACTACTCTATCTAGTATGTGGGAGCCAAGGATGCCACTGCCTAGCCCTGCCTAACTGGCCCAGCGACAAAGGGCAGAGGCCAGCAGCACAACCTGCCTGACTGTAAGCATTAGTCTGCCTCCTTGTCTGCTTTTACCTAGTCTCCATCACCACAGTTCTTAACAATGTTTAATATAGACCTCATATCTCTATTTCTCTAATTATCTAGAAATGTTTCATTAGAGTAGAGTTGTTGAAATGATAACTTACATTATATTTGACCATTATGTCTCCTCAAGCTATTTTAAATATTAACAATTTCTCATAATTTTTTTTCTCGCTTTGTTATGCACATCCGGATTTGGCTCATTCTACTACAGTAGTAGTTCAAGGTCAGGCTTGACTTTACAAACAGGCACCTTGTAGGTGCTGGTATGCGTTTCTCACATGGCACATCTAAGAACACAGAAGACCTGGTAGTCCAGATTTTAATATTATGCGTGAGCAATAGGTCTATGTACTGATTTTGGATCCTTAAAGTCATGCCACCCCCAACTACTTGCTTTTAAGTAGGTACCGAAAGTTCAGCAACGGCCTGATGAACCCTGCTCCGAAGGAAGAGAGCAAGTAGATGAGAAGCCAGTGATGCCAGTTCAAAGTGTCACTGGGTACGTATTCCTGCTAGGCTTGCATGGATTTCGTTTTCTGTTTGTTTTCTAAGTTTCTTGGTGTTACATCTGGGGTGTGTGTGTGTGTGTGTGTGTGTGTGTGTGTGTGTGTGTGTGTGTGGTCTGCCCTTGCTTCTGTTCTTTCCAATGTCTTGTTTTGTTTTTATAGCCTTGAAACTTTTAATGTGAATACAGTTGCAGATGGTGGAGGCAGAGGAAGATTCTTCCAAATTGTCTTCTGACCTCCACATGTCTGCCGTAGCACACAAGCAACACACACACACACACACACACACACACACACACACACACACACACACACACACAAAGGTTAACTTACTTTTAAAAGAGAAATGATAGTGTGGCATGAGTGGGAACTTTATTCTTGCCCTACAGTGCCTTGTAGATGGATAAATAAGTTAAAAATGGTTGTGAACAGAAATCTAAACTTGTACAGTAAGGTATGGCCTTATATTTGCAGCAGCACGGTAATTTCTTCAGATGGGTGGATTGAAAGAAAATGGCCTCCAAAGGGAGTGGCACTATTAAGAGGTGTGGCCTTGTTGGAGGAAGTATGTCACTGGGGGGGGCAGGCTTTGAGGTCTCTTTTCTCAAGCTTCACTCAGTCAGTCAAGCTTCAGTCAGTCAAGCTTCATTCAGTGACAGTCAGTCTACTTTCTGTTGCCTGGAAGATGTGGCACTCTCAGCTTCAGGACCACATCTACCTTCACGCCATCATGCTCCCTGTCATGATGATAATAGACTGAACCTCTGTAATTGCAAGTGAGGCATCCAATTAAATGTTTTTCTTTGTAAGAGTTGCTGTGGTCATGGTGTCTTTTCACAGCATTAGAAACTCTAACTAAGACAGGTGGGAACTGGGTTTTACAAAGTTCTAGGAGCAGAGAATGAGGTTACATTTTCATTGTCATATGGAAGGTTAATGGAGACCCCAGGGAGAATAGGATAGTTGACTGACCTTCAGTTGTAGTAACCACACTGAACTCTTTTACATCTGCAGTGTTGGTGACATCCTTCCTTTCCAGTGAGGACAAGGGTACAGAGCCTATTATAATGATGAAACCAATCTACATCCAAACTCAGCATTTCACACAATGGCTACCTAGTAGCGTATGCTCTTACAGTAGTCCTAACATTGTGTAACCACTTCATACACTCAGTGCGAAAGTCACCAAATGCCAGTGAGAAGCAAAGAGCTCCCAAACCAGAGAGAGCAAGGAGCTGGGAGGCAGCTATTCTTGTGCTAAGGTATGCATACAGGAATCTGTGTGAGTGTGTTTCAGTTGTAGTGCCCTTGAGATGGTTCTCAAAGGTTAATGTCTCTCCATGTGTCTTCCATTTCCAAGGGCTGATGGTGGTTCTCAGTGAGTGGGATGCTATGCTCAGCAACGGGAAGAGTGAGGCAACCATCACTAGGAGCATTTCTCAGTTAGAGTATCCTGTGGGCCACAGGGGACAGTGCAAACAGATTTTACACAGCTCAACACACTCTCTTGGTAAATACTGAACTGTGAAAGCCCATCGGGAACAAATGTAGACAATATACGACAGTTGTCATTTATTCATCTTTAGTCTATTCTAGCCACTGTTGCTCACAGTTAGCTACTGAAAGTTCTTCTTCTATTGTATTTTCATTACTTAAAACAATTTTAAATTTAAATATATTATGGTCATATTCTTCCCCTCCCCCAAGTCCTGACAGATCCTCCTTCCCTCCCTACCCACCCAACTTAAATTCTTTCTCAAACAAACAAAAACCCAACATAACAACCCCCCCAAATCAAGAAAGCAAGATAAAACACCATCACAAAAGAGGGGAAAAAACCCAAAACCCAAACCAAAAACAATAAAAAATCCCAAACAAAACTGTAAATAAATAAAAACACACAAAAAGCTATCGAGTCTATTACATGTTCATCAACTACTCCTGAAGATGAAGCCTTCCCTGAAGTGGTTGACATACCTAGTGTCACTCCATTGGAGAAAACTGATTTTCCCTCTCCCAGCAGGTATAAATGTCAGTTAGTTGTTAACCTTTTCCCTAGTGGCTATGTTTTCATTCATTCATTTATTTAAAAAAAATAACAAATTAAAATATAATAAGATAAAACAAAAACTATAACACTGAAGTTGGACAAGCCAAGCCAACAGAAAGAAAAGAGCCCAAGAGAAGGCACAAGAATCAGCGACTCACTCATTAACGAACTCTGGAATCCCATAAATACACTACATTGGAAGCCACAATATATACAGAGGACCCGGTGCAGCTCTGTGCAGACCCTCTGCATGCTGCTTCAGTCTCTGTGAGTTCATACGAGTTTTGCTCATGTTGTTTATAGGGTTTTGCTTTCTTGATGTCCTCCATCCCCTCTGGCTCTAAACACTTTCTGCCTCCTCTTTTGTGGGGTTCCTAGAGATCTGAGAGGAGAGATTTGATGGGGACATCCCATTTAGGGCTGAGTGTTCCAAGGTTCTCTCTCTCTCTCTCTCTCTCTCTCTCTCTCTCTCTCTCTCTCTCTCTCTCTCTCTCTCTCTTGTCAGGTTTCTATATTTGTTCCC